ATAAATGGATAAAGAAAATGTGGTATATATATACACAATGGAGTATCACTCGGCAATCAAAAAGAATGAAATGTTGCCATTTGCAATTACGTGGATGGTACTGGAGGGTATTATGCTAAGTGAAATTAGTGAAAGACAAAAATCATATGACTTCACTCATATGAGTACTTTAAGAGACAAAACAGATGAACATAAGGGAAGGGAAACAAAAATAATATAAAAACAGGGAGGGGGACAAAACAGAAGAGACTCATAAATATGGAGAACTGAGGGTTGCTGGAGGGGTTGTGGGAGGGGGGATGGGCTAAATGGGTAAGAGACATTAAGGAATCTACTCCTGAAGTCACTGCTTCACTATATGGTAACTAATTTGGATGTAAATTTTAAAAAATCAAAAATAAAGTTAAAAAAATGTAATTCTTAAAAAAAAAAAAAAAGAAAAGAAAAGAAAAGAAAAAAGAAAATCACATAAGCTGTATGGTCCAGAAACAAATATACCTCGGAATTAAGGCTTCATGAAGTTCACCACACATAAAGGGAAAAAAAGGATTGGTCACCTGTTTGTAACCTTAGTTTATTCACTTTTAGGCAGTGCTTTTATCATTTGCTTTCAGAAGTTAGAAAGCATTTGTTAAACCCAGCTTTGATTTTAAGCCTACACCGCTGAGAATTTGCATTTGGAACATGGAACCACGTGTATACAGAATTCATTCAAGTGTAATTCATGCAAGTAATGTGCATATTAGCATATTTACAATAATGGGATATCATCACTCTTAAGCAGAAATTGAAACTGTAGACTTAAGCCTTTTAATTATGACCTTACCTGAAAGAGGTTAGTTGAGTTCCTCACACAGTATGTATTATATTAACCATTATCACCTTTAAGTTATTAAATTCAGACTATTTATAACTTATTGTCATAGGGCCTGCCTCTTGGCTTAGGATATTCGAGTAATCATCAGATATTTAAAGTAGAAACTTAGACTTAAAAATACTGTTAATGAGGGTTCCTTGGCACTTTTCTTATTTTTAAATTGTTCTTATGGGTATTCAGTGCTATATATAGTGAGATTAACTCCCAGATTAAACAGTGAAGATTTTTTTGGTGAGTGGTCCAGAGCTTTAATATATTTTTCTTATAGTTTGCACCCCTCTCCCAGGTACTTTGACTGCTCTTTCAATAATGCTGATTATGTGTCAAATTTTGTCTACAACAGTGGGCAACACATGAAGATGAGTTGGTTGATATGTCTCCAGCACCATGCATCCCTGTTTTCCATTTATTGTGTGTATTCACTTTCAATAATGTATTTCAAACTGATATTTTTATAAACAAATCAATGTCTAAGGACTGAAATAGTAACTTAATAAAGTTAATTTATTTTTTGTACAGCTAAAAAAAAAAACCAACAAAAAAACAAGAACGTTAGGGGTGCCTGGGTGGCCCAGTTGGTTAAGTGTCCAACTTTGGCTCAGGTAATAATCTCAGGGTTCATGGGTTTGGGCTATGTTTCAGGTTCTGCCCTGACAGTGCAGAGCCTGCTTGGGATTCTCTCTCCCACTCCCACTTGCATGCGCTCGCTCTCTCTCTCTCTCTCTCTCAAAATAAATAAAACTTAAAAAAAAAAAATAAGAATACTAATCCCTGAAGAAGTTAACCTTGAGGAAACAAAAATGGTTAAAATAAGTAAAACATCATGAGATATATTTAGCCATTTAAAAAGAACACGTTATTAGAAAAAGTTCTTGGTAATTAACAATACGATTACAAAACCTTTTTTTTAAGAGAGAGCGAGAGCGAGAGCAAGAGCATGCACAAGCAGGAAGAGGGGCAGAGGGAAGACGGAGAGAGAATCGTAAGCAGGTTCCATGCTGCCCAGCACAGAGCCTGATGCAGGGCTCTATTTCATGACGGTGACATCATGCCCTGGGCCCAAATCAAGCGTCAGACACTTAATTGACTGAGCCACCCACATGCCCCAAAAGCATGTTTTATTTTTATTTAAATGGGTTAGTTAACATATAGTGTAATAACGATTTCAGGAATAGAATTTAGTGATTCATCACTTACATATAACACCCAGTGCCATCCCAACAAGTGTCCTCCTTAATGCCCACCACCTATTAAGCCCATCTC